TTTTTCCAAACTTGCCCTTTCTTCCCTTCCTTTTTGCTCCTATGCTCACTACTTGTTCCATAACAAGTATAAGGAAGTAGCTCAAAAGTGTGGCCAAAAGAGCAAAAGCGGGTGAATCAAAACTGCAAAGCCTGGGGCGTTGCAAGGTGAAATGGGGGCAGGTTTGCTAAGAGCTGAATCCCCTTGCATTCCACTCCATCCTCAGCGGTTAGAGGGGCTGGGGGTGGTACACTCATCTCTTYATAGCGATGCCAAATGCTGAGGTAGCTGTAGGTTGAACCCTGGCCACACAACATTTCACCAACACTCTGTCAACTCTGGAGGTGGCCGCATTCAGAACAATTAATGCAGTTCATGAAGAGTAGGATTTATTTGATTGTAAATACTACCCCATGGAGTTCTTGGCTACCTCTAATGGACAATGCGCAGTACTGACTCACCCAGGAAGACGGGAGAGGCCTCTCAACCTTGAGGACACTCCTCAGGCGGCGTCCGGACCCAGAAAGAGATTTTGCCACTGCAGAGGYGCTGGTTTCAAAGAYGGCCRAGTTGGGACWTGCAAAACCATGCATTAATTCTACACCTTAGTCAAATCAGTGAGCCTGATTAAATCAGTTAATTCTACACCTTTGTCAAATCCGTGCCCTCTTGTGGGCACCTGACCCTGGCACCAAGGGCAGCTGYGGGCTCCTCATGGAGCTGCTCTCCTCAGAGTGGGGACCCTGGAGTCTTTGCCCACAACGAGGCCATGGTCACCATGAGGATGGCTCCCTCACAATGGCCTTGTGGGCACGATGCCACTGCCATCACAAAGCCTTGGCTGTCACCATGGGGATGGAGCCCCATCATGATGCCTTAGTGGTGACCRTGTGGTTCCATCACAATGTCCTGTCCACCTCCATGGGGACACCCATCACCACCTCTGTGTCTCCAAGCTCTGGTCGTGGTTTCACAGCCTGCTTGGGAGCTTCTGTCTGAGAAGCAGGATGAATTTTCCTCCCCTCAGCTCTGYACTCTCCAGGCCTTGCAGAGGCTGTGCTTCTTCAGGTCTTCCGAGCAGTGATGTACACAAGGCCACCGCTCTTGTTCTGCCCATTCATCCTCACCCCTACACTCCCCACTGGCTCTCTGTCCTTCTCAAGGCAGAGCTCCCTGCACCCCACTGCTCTCTTGAGTTTCCTTTGTCCATATCACCTGCTCCCTTGTCTGTCATCACRGGCTATCACTTCATCACTCTTTCTGCAGGTTTCTTCTCCCCTAAGTCAATCTCAGTTTAATTTTCTCCTCACCAACTTGGCTAGGTTGTGGATGAACACATTTCTTTAGCAGATACAGCAGGGGACCTACAGGAAACCTTGACTGCTTGGAGTGTTAGCCGGGCGAATGCTCCAGGGCATCCTGCATCAAGTTCTGGTCACCCCACCAGATGACATGAACAGGCAATGGGCTAATGAGGACCCCTGGGTGGCTGCATYGCAGGCTCTCAAGGCCCACTACCACCTTCAGGGGCATCGGGTTCTTCCTGCCCCAGCGTCAGGCACAGACGGAGAGCGGACACTGCTCTGCTCTGTTTGGGTTGAGGTGCCCATGGCCAGGAATCCCTGTCCCCTCGCTGGGGCAGCTCCTGCCCAGCTATCCCAGTCCAGGGCTCCTTCTCRCCATCCCGGTGTTCTCCATATGGCTCCCATCCGTGCCGTCCACCTCTCCCTCCAACCCTACCACTCACCTCCCTCGTGCCCCAGTGCTCCAGGGGTCCTGTCCATGGACGAGGAGCTGGCGTTGGCCGCCTGCTCCTCCTCCATCCCCAGCCCTTGCTCTGGGGACATTCCTGCATGGCCAGCGCCTTTCCAGCCTGTCCTCTGCACACACAGACGCRTCCCCACAGCTCGTATCACAGCCCAGCCCTCTGACCAGCTGCTCCCACTGAGGGGACCTCACAGGTCCTTGGCTGGGGCTGCTCCTGCTGTGGCTAATCGCGCACGGGGACACTAGTGACCTCACAATGTGCCTGGAAGCTGCAGTTGGCTTTGGCCTATCAGCAGCAGGGACAGAGGTGATGTCACAAGAAACCTCCGCAACCCAGAGCCTGCTGATGACATCAGGTCTACAGAGAAGGATGTGACATCAGAGTCACCATGAGAGCCAAATCCCKGCTGTTGGCCAATCAGGGACTGGCACAGCAGKGATGTCACCATCAACATCCGGGTCACGTGTCTGCTGCCCTACCAGGTCCTGAGGTAGAGCTGCCAACACAACCCACATCCCAACCACGAGCCTGTGTCTGCCTTGTTCCCACCAGACCCTGAGGG